AACTAGGACCACGTTCCGAGACGTCTGGTGGGGGGGGCCGGGGAGGCCGACCTGGCGGGGGCGGGGGAGATAGCTCCCCGATGCGCCTTGCCGCCGTGTGCGACCACGGCGGACTCGGCCGATTGTGGGACCGGACCCTCTCTCGGTTTGCAGCAGATATAGCACCCACCCTGCCGGTAAATCCGCAAAGCGGGCAGTAGGCCTCGGTGCCGGATGGCTGCACCTGCGCAGAAGCAAGGAACGTGGGGGCTCGGGAGGCCCCACGCCGAGCGCTAGGCTACCGAGAAGGAGAGCGTGGGACACACAAGGACACCTCTAGTGGCATGTAACTGGAACCTAGATAGAGCGGGTGGAGACGCGATGTGACTTGACGTACCACGGACTGAGACCAGACTGACCGAAGACTTTGAGGGAGCGCACTCGGGGGGGAAGGGGAGGGGGGGAACGGCGGAAGCTGTGGACTGACCAGGACAAGCCCGGACGGTAGACTCTGGTGACCGGGTGCTTGAGAGGAGACGAACACTAGGGGGACTGGACTCCTACGGTCTGGCCAGACATACGGGCTTATCTCGATAGAGCTCACAGACCGAGAGACGCCACACACCCGAGAGCTGGACTAGAAGCCGTGGGTGTCTCCGAGCCCACACGGAGAGAGGCAGGTCCAGACACCGTGTTTCCCGGAGTGCAATTGCAGAATGTGGGGCATCTCCCTGCTTACAGAGACAGCTTGGAGGGGATAAAGGACTAGGGAGGGACGATACAGAGGTCAAGTTAAACTGTAGGCACATGTTGTAGAGCTATTGTTGAGACGTACGTTGTGGGTGCATGCGTATGGGTGCGAAAAGCTCCCTCTGACTCAGCCCTACTGAATCCTCATACTGGGTAGTTGTGACTGTCGTACACGGTCCTGACTCTTGGATATGAAAGAGGCAGAAAACTACGACCGCGTTATCATATACACAGTCCCGCTACCCGGGAGGGGGGGGGGGGCGAACTACACGTATGCTATGCAAAACACTGGGACACCCGAAAGAAGCTAAGCACATGTAGCGAGTGTGAGTTGGGGGTACCCGCTAGGGGCACGAAAGGGTGCTGAAGTTGAGACGAATGTCTGTAGCGCTTATGTGTTGGGGCACCTACTAATGATGGTCGATAATCCTGAACTGGATGCTGTGAACTTTACATGCTAGCGTATTTTTGCCCATGCCCTGGGGGGAATTCACTGTTGCAGAGGGTGGAGAGGAATGTTCAACCTCCCTGAATTTTTGTATCGTTAATTGTTACCTGCAAACTAACGGTTTACTGTTTGTAATGCATACTGTGTTGGAAAATATTCTAATAAACACCAATTGATCTAAAAAAAAAAACAAAAAAAAAAAACATAGAAGGTTTCTCTCGCAACTCAGCATTCTTTGAAGTATAACCAATGGTAGCTGCTGCAGTAGCTTGAGGCCATTTATGGGCAGGTTGTTCGGTGCAATGTTCTTCTGATAATCAAGAAAATTATAACATCATAAATAAAGGGTGTTCATTTTCATTAACCATCATGAGATTTTTTAGGAGATTGACTTGACTTGGCTAGCGACCTGTAAACAATTTTACTTAGTTATCTCATTTTCAATTCCAGACATTTCGGGAAACTCTTCCTACTGCCCCATGACTAGCTATAGCCACCCCACCCCAAGACCTAATAATGGATTAGATGAGTTGTTGACTCAAAGCCAAGCATTGACAAAAATGGCTCTATCACTTAATACTCGTCGATCCTATGATAGGGCCTTCTCATTATACAAGAGGTTCATATCTGAACATAACATAGCCAACATGTTTGATATAACATCACTGGTAGGATTCACTACTTTTTGCCACCTTAAATTAAGAATATCTCACAATATTATCAAGTTATACCTGACGGGCATACATCATCACATGTTCTCTACTTTTCCAAACAATTCCAGTATTCTATCATCCTATCCGATCAAGACTATACTTAAAGGTATACAAAAAGCTATTTGAGCCTAACACCAGCGTAGTCATCAAGACAGTTATCTACCTGACTTTTTATTGGTTTCTCAGGCCACGGGAATTCACTACCAATAACAGAAACAACTCCCAAAATAGTTTTAAAAGATCCTATCTGGTCAAACATCAGGATCATCAGGGCTGGCACGTCCATAACGAGGCACAAACGGCTTCCTTAGGGTGCACCAGACCAGGGGGCTCTAGATTAGATTCACCAGCAAGAGAGCACTTCCTGTCAGTTTGACCGGGTACTGAACACTGAAGCTCCTGTACCGTGGTCTGCTCCACTTGACCACGCTACAAGAAAGGTAGGAGACACACCGGGGACCAGGAGGGGAAGAGAGAGAGGCAGGAACACTATGGGACAGGGAAGGGAGGGGAGATGAACACTAAGGGACGGGGAGGGAAGGGAAAAGGAACACTAGGGTAGGGTGGGGACCACTAAAAGGGAGGGGAGAGGAACACTAAGAAGGGGGGTGGGAGGAACATTAAGGGGAATGGGGGGCGGGAGAAACATTAAGGGGAATGGGGGGCACTAAGAGATAGGTAAGGGGGAGAGGAACACTAAGGGACAGGGGAGGTAGGGAAGAGTAACACTAAGGGACAGGGAAGGGAGAGGAACACTAAGGAACAGGGAAGGGAAAAAGAACACTAAGGAACAGGGAAGGGAAAAAGAACACTAAGGGGGAAAGGAGAAGAACACCAAGAGTGGGGGGCACTAAGAGACCGGTAAGGGCGGGAGAGGAACACTAAAGGACAGGGGAGGGAGGGGAGAGGAACACTAAGGGACAGGGGAAGGAGGGGAGAGGGACACTAAGGGACAGGGAAGGGTAAGGAACGGGGAGGGAGGGAGGGAGGGAGGGGATAGGAACATTAAGGGACTTGGGAGGGAGGGGAGAGGAACATTAAGGGACATGGAGGGGAGAGAAACACATAGTGACAGGGAAGAGGACCAACTAATGGACAGGAAGGGGAGAGGAGAAAACACTAAGGGACATGGAGGGGAAGTGGCACACAGGGGGGCTGAGTGGGGAGAAAGACACACAGAGGGACATGAGGGGGGAGAAAGACACACAGATGGGCCTGGGGGTGAGAAAGAAGCAAAGAGCAGCTAGGGATGAAAGCAACACACAGAAGGACCTGGGGGTGGAAATACAAAGAAGCTGGGGGAGAAGATGAAAAAGCGACACAGAGAGGCTGGGGGAGATAGACGGGCTGGGGGTGAAAGAGAAACACACAAAGGAGCTGGAAAGAGTAGAAGACACAAAGGGGCTGGGAGAGAAGGAGACACACAAAAGGACTGGGGGGAGTAAGACACACAAAGGGGTGTTGTAAGAGATACACAAGGGAGGTGTATGAAACACAATGGGGTAAAATAGGGTATAAGATACACTAAAGGGGGTAAGACATTTCAAAAAGGGAATAAGAAACAAAAGGCGGGTTAAGAGGTACTCAGTTAAGATGCTTTTTTTTGGAGGGGTGGCCAAAATCATCTTTACCTGTGTACCCAAAATCCTTGCACTGGCCGTGAGGATCAATATATATTATCCCTACTCGTCACTAAAACTAGCCAACTGAGCCAACAAGTCAATATTCCATATTACCCCAGTAGATTTCAGTAGATTCTGGTTGAACTGAAGTGGAAGGCCCGGTTGGTCTCAAAGCTAGAGTGACTGATTCTAATTTCTCCAATCTGTCATTGATTTTTCCCATGGCGGCCATGAGTGATGACAACATGGAGTGAATATCAACTGAATTAGAACCACTCAGGCCCTCTCCTGCATCAGAATTATCTGTAGATGTGTGCAGTAGTTTAAATAGTTCAGCTATCATGCTGTTGCTGGGTTCGGAATATGTTGTTTCCTTAGTTCGGATGTAATGCGAGGGATAGTCCAGGATCTGATAGATGTAGAGCTAGCCATGTCCCCTCTACATGAAGGTGTACCGGATCTAGCCGGTGTGCTGGGCAGAGATAGGTCTTCGCCACCTTCTTGTATGTGAGACATGCTAAATCAAATAAGGTTACCATAAGTATATGTATACCTTAGAGATGTGCTTGATAGCTAATGCCAAGTGACGAAACAATTATGCTAAATTGGTGACAGGTAAGGCCCTACTAGATACCAAGCAGCTTAAGAGGTTCTATCTATGAGTTGTTTTTTTTTGTTTTTTTTTATTTATTTTTTTAATTCTTTATTTTTGCAGTGCATGAAAATGATACAGGCAGGCTTGAGGTGCCCCAAAAGCAGTCCTCAGGCTATTCCTCCGCGTTACATGCGGGACATATGTCTATCAAGCACAATTTGTTTTTTAATATAAACATGCTTAGTCAATCATACTTTAAGCTGTAAGAAGTTAAGATAGCTAGTTCAGAATCGTTTTGTATGAGGATGTGACATAACTAGGAGTATTTCTATGTTGCTTGCCGAAAAACCTAGGCTGAGAACAGTACAGGTCCTGCATATATATATATCAGTAGCTGTACAGATAAAGTAGTACTCCTAGGCTTCACGTGGCTTACAGGCTAGGCCTTGAGCACTCCGTGCAATACAAAAATCACCTTTTAGCAGTAGATGCCCATTTTTATCAGGGCATGGGCACAGTTATACAGTAAGTTGCTTGGAAGTTATCCTTACATAACAGGCTGACTAAACATTAAATCTGAGTAACATTCTATCTTTCGTGGTTTACTATGAGTGTAACGGACATAAGATCACCAATCTCAAGGTCTATTCATGCTGATGCAATATCATTAACTGTGTGATTCTTCGGTGATAAGATTAAACATCTAGCGCCCTATGCTTAACTAATAGAAGGCTAATATAAACAAGCGTGAGTAAGGTATACTATGGTTGGCAAAAAGCATTTGTCTGCACATTAAATCAAACTGGTATGCAGCGGTCACCGGCACGGCACTTGCATCTGGACCCGTGGGGTAGCGTATGCGGGTCATAAGAGAGTTTGTGGTAAGTCACTATTTATCCTATTCCTTCTGTGGGAATGCGGCTGAGGCTCTCCGGTTGGTCCAGAGGAGGTGCTGACGCTCGGCCGGTGGTGGGGGTGTCCCTCTTGCCCCAAGCTGGTGTGCAGGCCTGCGTCTTCTGGCCTGAGACTCGGTGGCACACATTGCCCGAGTGTCTCCGCCTCATGGGGGTGGCGGGAGGTCTGTATGTTGATTGCCGCTTGTGTTTCCGCCTATGTGGCCGACGCCTTCGGGTCAGGGCCCTCTTGGCCTGCAGCCCGGGTGGGCCGGGGTGGGTGAGTGTCAGCTTTTGGTCTCGTGTTGCGCCCGAGGGAGTCCCCCTCTCACCCGGCCGCCCATAGCTCCCCTCTCTTGGGTCCATGGGATCCTGTCGCTTTGTCTTGGTGCGCTGTGCGCGCCGCTGGAGCTTCTCCCAGAAGTCGTTGAATAGTGCATCCAGACGCTGCATGAGGTCTGTGCCGCAGTCGGAGCTCTGCTTAGCTGCTTCAAGCTGAGTTGCTGCGAGTACTCCGCCGCCATTTTCGATGGGCCACGTGTCGCCGGCCCTGGTGTCCACACGCTGTGTATAGGCTCGGACTGGGCCCGCGGCGAGTCCCGGGATATCCCCCACCGGTCCCGGGGGGGGGGCGGGCAGGATGATTGAGGGTCGAAGTGGTCGTGGAGCAGGTAGGTGGAAAGGAGAGCGGCCGTCTCCCCTCTGCCAGCCATCCTGTAGGCCTCGGTCACCGCAGCTAGGGATCTCGGGTGGTTAGCTAGTCGATTTGGGTGTTCAGAGTTGCCCCCCGAGGATCCCAATTCAGTTATGCCCTTTAGAGTAGTTCTGTGCAAGTTTTACTGGGTATTTTCCCCAAAATCAGGCAGATAATGCAGGAGCTGGGTTTCAGCACGTCCACTCTGCTTGGCAGCTAGGCTCCGCCCCCTTCTATCTATGAGTTGGTGCAATGGGATTTCGTGGCCACGGAACGTTGAGGCGGGTTGTCGGCCTCTCGGTGACCTTTAAAGCATAAGATAGAATGGGAGTGACAGGTGAGGCCCTCTCTATGCCATTATGCGAGGCGGCTAACAAAGATTTGGGCATTTTAGTATGAGGATGGGTGTATGCCTCACGGGACTACTAGCCTAAGGCATGGAGGCCATAGAAGTAATTACCTATTGGACTCCTAGGACCCGTATCAGCCAGTGTATTTTAACAAGATAACTTTTGGGGGAGGAAGTAGTGATATAATTAACAAGCAGGTGGACATACATTAGTGAAACTGTGTTGTAATACTGGTCAACCAGAGAAAGTGTAGGAATTCCGACCTATATAGGATGAATAGAAATGTTGTAGGAGATGTGGAATGATGTTACGCATTAGTAGTAAACATCTGTTAACTTACTGTATACTGACAGCAGGGAGGAACACAATTAGCTGGTTGCGAAGAAAAAAGTTGATACCTGGAAGCTAATAATGAAAACAAACAGCGTGTCGGAATGTAGGATATATAAGTCAAGGGGTCCCCCGTGGACCCTATTTACCTTATATTATTTATGTACAAGTGTAAGAGCAAAATGCCCCACAAACTGAGCAACATACTATCTAGCACCAGACAATGGTGTCTAAACCCAGAATTTCCCTGATAAATAAGAAGGCGTAGTCTGTATTTGTGGGAGGGATTACCGGCTATAAAAACTTGGGCCCCCTCCATAACAGTACCATCACCACTGGGTTCAGGCAGAACCCTAGACTTCCGGTTCCGGTTCACAAACCTAAGACTTCGTTCCCACGCTGGTTCCTGCTAACCAAGTTCTCCCTGCAAGACAGACCACTGCATCCCATGACCAAGTCCGCCCAGCTGAGTTTTTAACACCCACCTCGCAGAGCCAGCTCCCCTGAAGTACTACTTACCTTGTTCCAGCCGCACGCTCCACTTTACTCTTCATGCTGAACGGAGCCCGCCGGAAATAGTTCCAGGCTGACCTCTCATTTTACCGCTGCTCCTGGGTCACGTTTCCCTGTTCGGTCCATGAACTGTGAGTTTCCTCGAAAGGGCCCATACGAACGGTTCGTTCAGCTGCCGTACTGATTACATTCTTGTGAACATACATTTTCATATCTCTATTCAATTAGTAAATTTCTGTTCTTTGGTTCATGTAACGGTTCGTTTGCATAATTTTTTTTTACCGATCACACTCTAGATTATTCACGTACCAACTCTAGCAGCCAGAATTACTCATGCCAGTTTTAATATGATACAACTTCTCACGTACTATTTTCATTCACCTGTACTCTCTTATCTTATTAGGGGGTTTTTAGTCGAACAAGGACTATAGGCTAGGTTACTCTTAAATGTCGTTCGTACGATAAAACAAATGCATAAAAATGAGTTTAATCTTTATTAGGTTTTTCATGTTTTTTTCCCTGTGAATCCATTATGTTATACAGTACTAAGTTCTCCTGTCTTATGGACCTGGCTTACCAATGCCCTCATGTTTTCCTGTTCCCTTCGCTAGGTGTTTATAAAAACCATATAATTTCATCACAATCTCATTCGTCTGCGTTCAGTCCACCAATTACCCATTAGGCATGAATATCTCTCCCATACACATGTATAATTGTGTGTTTCCTTAGCATAATCTTTATTATACTTATATGCATACCCCACGATCATCTTAATGCAAAATTCTTCATGTACGACACAGTATCCGTAGCCTTATCTTTTCTAAAACGCTAATACCACTTATCGCCACAATAGCTATTTCAATGGCCTCGCTCCTAGATGTGGCAGTCTGGGCCACCCCTTCCCCTTTCGTATTACTAGCACTACTTCACTCATGCTACACGTATACCTAGTGGTATACCTACGACACATTTTGTCAACTTATGTTTCCCTACATTGATAGAGGATAAGTATAGTTTTATCCTTAGATATTCACTACTAGCAAATCCCCACGAATCACTGTCATCAGTTCACAGGTGAATTTTACTCATAATACGGGGAAAGAATTAGCCCAACTATGACCTAACCTTCCACATTTTGCTTTTTAGGTTCTCAAACAGTTATCCTTGTCTGTAAAGAATCTTACCTATTCGTAAAGCTACTCCCTTTTTACATCTTACTCCCATCCCTCCATAGGCTAGGATTGGTCAACTGACTGTTAGTTACTTGCACTTGTACCTAGCTTATGGTAAATTAATTTACTCCCGTGAGTCCAGCACCCATCCTCATCGGAGGTATGAGCCCCTCAGTCCAATGCATAGAGAGCCTCACATTAACCACTGTCGGTTATTAGTCAGGGCCTCACCATGTTACACCCTTTCATATTATATCTTGTTACTTTCACCGAGAGGCCAACGTTCCTGCCACATCATTCTTTGGCTCCCACCCCCTCAGCCCTCCTCACAGTTAGAGCCTCTCTCTCGCCACTTGGCACTTGCAGGGCTTCATCTTCATTATAGGCTAGATAATTTTTTGGCCTTAGACTTAGCACAGGCACTTGTTCATAACAAAGTCCTCTTCTTTACCCATGTTTACATTCTTAGTATGTCTCAAGTCCCAGAACAAGACAAGGAACTCGGTTTACCCAAGACCCCACTGAGAATCATCCAGCCCGTATTGCCTGCATTTCTGGACTATCCCTAGGCTTGCAGCTGAATTACAGCGCATGGGGGTCCCTTTCCTGGCTACAACTCACAAAGCAGAACTCTATAAACTTTTTATCACCATTACCTGTACTCCCCAGCCAGGAGTTGTCCTTCAACCCGACAACTACACAGATATCAAGGGTTTAATGTCGTCCCTTCTTGCCTCTATTAATACTATCAGTAGTAGTCTTGAGAAGTTGGAATCTCCTCAGCCATCGACAGCCAACCCGCCCATAGAGACCCCCACTCCAGCTCCCTCTCACAGTAGCAACACTACCATAAACCCAATACCTAACAAGTCCACTCACACCATCACGACCGCCCACTTCGTTCCCCCCGACCATTTGCAAAGACATCCTGGAAGGCACTTAGTCTCATTGCTTATTGCCTCTCATTGCTTATTGCCTCTCAAGGCGTAGTGGAGAACAAGGCATACTGCTATGGTGATCTTTCGGTTCTTTTGAGACCCCAGACTCAACCGAAAACGTACCATACCTGAATTTGTCCTTGCTTTTGACCTTTATCACGACTTAATCTGCTCCTCACTGTAGGAAAGAGTTGGGTTTGTACATGCATAATGGGTATGGTTGAGAATGAAATTCTCAAATTTAGAGTAAATTGTATGGTAAAAGGAACTACACTACTGGAAAGAAAGGGCTCCCACTAAAGAACCCCAAAATACAAGATAAAGAATGAGTATAAGATGCGATCTAATGAGTATCCAGGAGGCTCACTGCCAGCCTCTGATGAAGTAAGAGTTCACTCACAAAACGCGTAAGGACACTTTTCGGCATCTATCGCAAACTGCTAAAACTACTGAGTTGTATTGGAACGCAGAAGGGAAGAGCAGTGGAACGCATGCAGCACCCTACCAACTTACAGCTACCGGCCAGACTGTAGGACCGTGACCACCATCAACCACCTCCCACCAAAAGCATTTCCATCATACACTCGATATAGATCTGCAAATTGTGAGTGCTTTTTAATTCAAAACCTTTATTAAAGTTTTTATACAGTAAGCACTATGGATCTCCATTTTACTTTCTTATAGAACAGAGGATACAAGTTTGACACTTAAGATCATCATATAGGATCTTACAATATCAATTTCTATGCAGTGTACATATCAGTGATACAACACAAATTGAAGAAAACATCACTGTTAGTACTATATTCAAAGCTTGTTCAGTAGACTAACCCCAACTGGCGCAATAGCTGGAGCTATCTGACACAAGCTAACATTGCATAAATTGTATCTACTACACTGTGATACTTTGAAAGACTGCAACTTCTGATCTTTTAAATTTTGGACTTCCACACTAAATGTTATAGTGATAACTTACATTTTAGTCTTTTAAGACTTATTAAGTTTTATTACTTTTTTTTAATTCGTAAGACGCTGTTCTTATTTATTAAAGGCATAGAACACCCACCATAACTACCTCTGGATACTTATTAGATTGCATCTAATGCTCATTCTTTATTGTACATGCATAAGTTGGTGGACCTAGGGCACAAGTACGGTGGTTTCTTGTTTTATGAATATCATAAATCTTTTTCAGAAAAAGCAGCGGCATCTCTCGGCGGCATTTAATACCCATACCGACTGGAGTAGGCTTGATACGGAATTATTCTGTCACCATTTTGCCTTGTGTTCAGTGGATCTAAGCCTTCCTACCACTAGTCGTGCTTCCTTCAGTTCTTCCACTGCAGAACACAGTGGCCTTAAAGACAAATTGGGTAGACCCATAGTATATCTGCAACAAATCTGCAATAATTTTAATTCTGGCAGTTGTGGATTTAGCTTGTGCAGATTGTTGCACGTCTGCTCAATTTAGTGTATGTGTCTATTGGTTATGTATGTGTCTATAGGTAGAGGCTGTAGAGAGTGTGTATTTAGAGAATGTAGTGTGTGTGTTTGCGTACAGGGGATCTAGTGTGTACATAGGGGATCCAGAGTGTGTATGTCAGGAATCTAGTGTGTGTGTAGGTGATGCAGAGTGTTTGTAGGGTATCTAGCGTGTGTGTGTAGAGGATAGGATACATAGTGTGCATAGGGGATCTAGTGTGTAGGGGATCTAAAGTGTGTTTAAGGGATATAGTGTGTGTTTGTCATGAATTTGGTGTAAGTGATGCAGTGTGTTTGTCTGGAATGTAGTGTGTGTAAGTGGTGCAGTGTGTGTATAATGGGTGTATTGTGTGTGTCTGGAATGTGATGAGTGTCTATAGAGGTTTGAGTGTGCAGGGGTGCTGTGTGTGGGAGAGGTTCAGTGTCTGTGTGTGTGAGGAATGCAATGAGAGTATATTAGGGGGTTTGAAGGGTGCAGTGTGTGTGTTAGGGGTTATTGTGTATGGGTGGACAGATAGGAGCAAAGCACATTTTCCTTTGTAAATTAAAAAAATCAAAAAAATTTATATTCCCTCTCCCTTCTTAACCTTGCCCAGAAGGGAGTACACTGCAAGCCCTGATGGTCCAGTGGTGAGTAAACTCTAGTCTGCAGCTCTTTGGGCTTGAGTTCACTCTCGTGAAATCTGGCCTGTTGGAGTATTGCCATGGTAAATGCGGCAAGGCTCTGACCTCACAAGATGAACCTTTAGGACCTGGCAGAACTGCAGATTAACGCCCCGGGTTCTCTCTCCTCTCTGGATTTACGTGTCAGTGGGCAAATGAGGGAGATTTTGATCTCCCCACTGGCCTTCATGACACACAGCAATTATCCAAATGCTTGCCCTATTTGGGATGACAGGACAGATCCTCTGATCTCCCCTAACGGCCTTGGCCTCTGGCCATCGCAGCCCACCAGGCATTGCCAGGATTGCCTGATGGCCATTCCAAGCATGGTGTTAAATAGGTTTTATTTTGACATTGGACAGTTTTACTCTAGTCTAAATGAATCTAGAAATATTTTACAATAGCTTGGAGTGTGTTTAAAGACGCATAGTTTAAAATGCTGCATGCTTTGAAATGATCTGATGGCTGACACATTAACACTTTGTGTGCAGCAATTCCCATTTGTGGCGCATAGAATACAATAAGCTCTTCTGCACAGCTAATGCTGGATTTGCAGCCAGACTGTGCTTTATGTCTTAACTGCTACAATAAAGGAAACTAAACTTGTCAAGATTATACAAAGTAACTCAATTATACTTTCTGTTCGCAGATCAGTGCTGGAGTTGATGACTTTCTAATGTTCTCACATAATAAATGTCTTTATCATTCAACTATTGAAGAGAAAAATTACATACAAAAGAAAGTGGATATTAATTTGCTTTGATTAGTGTGCAGACATTTTTTGTT